CTGTTACCTGCTCAGCCTTCTGTTCCAGCGTTCCTGTTCCCCGCCCGGCTCTCTGCATCAGACCTCGCCCCTCCTCGTGTGGACTCTGCTACACCCACGGTACCTTACCCCCGGGACCAGCACACACGATGTGTTTGCTCAAACTAAAATTGGGGAACTTAAACATGATCAGGGAGCAAATGGGGGTTTTCAGGAGAAAGGGGGGCTCTTGTTCTACAAAGGGACACTGCATGTACCGGGAGAGCCATTGAGGGCCAAAATCCTCAGACAGCTCCATGACAACCCCACAGCTGGGCATTTGGGGCAACATAAAACCATGCTGTTAGTCACCAGGCAGTTCTGGTGGCCCAAGGTAAGGGAGGATGTAAGGGAATATGTCTGAGGGTGTGCCAGGTGTCAGAGGGCCAAAGGGCTAAGAGCCGCACCGGTGGGGTTACTGGAACCCTTACCAACACTGGGGAGACCCTGGGAGGTGGTGTCCATAGATTTCATGACGGATCTGCCCAGGTCACGAGGTAAGACGGCAATGATGGTGGTGGTCGATCTGCTGACCAAAATGTGTCACTTTGTGGCATGTTCCCATGCAGTGACAGCTGAGGAAACTGCCAAGCTGTTGGAGTCCCATCGAGGGTGGTCTCCGAACGTTGAAAACAGTTCACCTCACAGTTCTGGCATAAACTCATGAGCCTGTTGCAGGTGGAGGTGAGCTTCTCGACGGCAAGACACCCAGAAACCAATAGGCAGGCCGAGAGAGCTAAAGCCATATTGCAGCAGTACTTACGCTGCTACATCAGTCAGAGGCAGAATGATTGGGTGGAGAAATTAGCACTGGCGGAGTTTGCATACAATAATGCTGAACATGTGTCCACGGGAATGAGTCCCTTTATGGCCAACTACAGGTGTCACCCCAGGGCCTTCCCAGGAGGGGGGGAGGAGGAATGAAGTGTTCCAGCTGCAGAGCAGTTTGCAGAAGAGATGGAGGCTTTGTACCAGCAACTCCAATTGGACCTGGAGAGGGCCAAAGAGGTGTATAAAAAGGAGGCAGACAAGCATCGCAGGCCAGGGTCATACAGGTGGGAGACAAAGTGTTGTTGTCATCCCAGGGGTTGCCTTTAAGAGGGGGGTGCAAGAAACTGCAGCCCAGGAGACTGGGGCCCTTTGAGGTGATCCATCAGATCAATCCAGTGGCATTCAGGCTAAAGTTGCCGGACAGCATGAGAATTCATCTGGTGTTTCATAGATCCCTGTTTTGACCTTACAGAGAGGGGCACAGCTTCCCGGGAAGGGAGGAAGGGGTGTCCGCCCATCCCAGGGTAGAGGAGAGGGAACTCTGTAATGAAGTGATGGAAATACCCCAGGTGGAACGGGCATCAGCTAGAGTACTTGGTGGCCTGGGAGCGGGAGCCCAGTTCAGAAAACACGTGGGTTCCCGCAGAAACCGTCACGGAGGAGTATTTTGTGGAGGAGTTCCACGCTCTTTTCCCACGCAAGCCAAAACCCCAGGGGAGGTTCTTTGGGGAAGTGTTTGGACCCACGGAGGACGAGGAGGACTTCGTAGGATTTACATCCTCAGTAGAGGAAGAGGGACTCTGAGCCGAAGTCACTGAGCTGTCTGATGGGGGGGGGGAACCTGATTGGCTTCTGGGATAACCACGCCAAGCCTCTTCAAGGCAGCGGGATGAAGGCTCCCCCTGCCCAAAGAGGCTGCGTGCAGCTAAGGCAGAAGCCAGGGCAGGCACGTGGCTGAAGGGTCGCTGCGCAGTTCTCCCACCTCCCGCAGAAGCCCGCAGAAGCCGCACGCTCTTTAAAGGGTGCACGGCTCCTGTGGGCTTTTCTACGAGGTGGGAGAAGGGACTGATGCGGCCAGTCAGTCTCTTCTCCCTGCTGGGGAAAAACCCGCAAGAGCCGCACGGAGCTTGTGTCAGGTCTTGGGGGCTTTCCCCGCCTACCTCCCCCCTGCATTCGATCCATAGGACTCACACACATTTTCCCTTGCTTTTTAGGAGGGAAAAAGTGCATCCTATAGAGCAAAGGTACGGTAGTACCCAGCATGGGCATGTAGGTGGGTCTGAGGGTTTTTGCTGCAATATCCTTATCCTTTTTAAAGCCTTCGGCAACCAGGCACACTGTGAACTAAAACAGCAGTACAGGTTCGACAGCAGTACAGGTTCGAGCAGTACACTGTTCGACAGTGGAATTTGCTGCCAAGGAGTGTGGTGGAGTCTCCTTCTTTGGAGGTCTTTAAGCAGAGGCCTGACAACCATATGTCAGGAGTGCTCTGATGGTGTTTCCTGCTTGGCAGGGGGTTGGACTCGATGGCCCTTGTGGTCTCTTCCAACTCTATGATTCTATGATTCTAGGTATTCCAGGGAAATGAAGGTGACCAGAATCTCAGGCAGCATGGTGTAGCACAGTACACCCAGATATCAGATTGGTTGGTTGTTGGTTAGTTAGTTTTCCCCATCAAGGTACTGGTCTTGTGAAAACGGCAGTGTGAAGTGGTCAGGAATTGTGATTTTATCAGATGTGGAATCCTCTAGTCCCAATTCATAATCAAAAAGTACAGTATCAAGCATAAAACTCAACCATGCTGTTATCACACTACAAGCAGGTTTAAATAAACATTATTAAGAAATGCTTACCTGGTTATACACCTGTTTTTAAAGAAAGAAATGGTTTGTTATGGGCTGTGCTATATGTTTAGTTATAAAAAGTTAAGCAAAATTGGCAGTACAAGCGCATTAATCACAGTTAAAACAGCTATTTCACTTTACCTCAATGTACCTTTAGAAATATCTGGTACATCTGGTACACGAGGGCACATCTGACTCCAGTAAATAACTGGACCACCATAAACAGACCCAGGTTCAATCCTTACGCAACTGCAAAACTCAGTGGATGACATTCTGCTGGTCTCAATCAGTCAAACCTACATCATTATAGGGATTATTGCAGGGAATGGTAACCTCAGCCCTGGGAGCTTCAGGCCCCTGTATATGACCCTCAATACTTTACCTAGACCAGTGTTTCCCAACCTTGTGCCTCCAGCTGTTTTTGGACTACAATTCCCATCATCCCTTGCCACTGGTCTTGCTAGTCAGGGATGATGGGAGTTGAAGTTCAAAAACAGCTGGAGGCACAAGGTTGGGAAACACTGACCTAGACTATGCCCCTTCCTCGAGTCATGTCCCTTACTGACCCCTTAAGTATTTTTGCCTGGCTGAAATGTCCTTGAACTGTGAAAATTATTTTTATTTGCCAGGATAGGTGGGTGTGTACATGCGCATGTATGTATTTCTGTATGGAGGAGAGACTTTTGCATGGCTAGAATGCAGCATACCACACAAAGGAAGAGTCAGATTCATTGACTCCCTCCCACCCTTGTTCCACTGCCAGATTTGGTTCTACCCAGGGGGTTTTTTCAACCAGAACCCAATGGAACTCGGCTCTGGCACCTTCAGGTGAACACCATTGCCATTCTAAGTGAACAAGGGAGGTGTTCATGGTGAGTTCTGGCACCTCTTTTTCTACCCACCACTGGCATGAAGAGTTCTATATTTGGCAATGTCTGTTGCAGCAAAAACAACAAAGAGTCTTGTAGCACCTTAAAGACTAACATGCTTATTATGACACAAGTCTGAAGTCCACTTCCTTAGACGCTTAAGGGAAGAGCCGTACTTGATTCCTCTTCTCTGAAAGGCCAACCAGATGCCTGTGGGCAGGGCACAAACAGAGCAGGAGTGCAAAAACGTTCTCCCCTCCCCCTGCAATTCCCAGGAAGTGCTCTTCAGAGGCATACCGTCTCCAACAACAGAAGTGTAATATAACTGCTGTGGTTTGTGACCACTGATCCGTGAATATTTCTAATCCTTTTTCAAAGCCATCCAAGTTTGTAGCTACTACTGCCTCTCATTGGAACAAATCTATAACAAATCTATAACAAAACTATCCACTGTGCTAATAACTATTTTTGCCAATCCTGACTCTTCCGTTATTCAGCTTCACTGCATATGTCCGAATTCTAGTATTATTATTTTATGCACCATAATTTAATACACCTCTATCATGTCCCCTCTTATTTATATGACATAATGCATTTGTTGGTGTTTAAGGCACCACAGGATTTTTTGTTGCTGCTATTTATATATCAGCACTAATCTCAATAGAATGATATATGAAAGTAAGCATATGCATTTGGACAAGCTCACAAAATGACAATTCTGCTTTGTACTCTTAAGATTGAATAAAACCTTACTTCCAAACTTTTCCATGCCATGTTTTAGTACAGCGAAGAAAAGCCCAGCACTTTAAAATACGTGATGAGAAATAGTTCACTGTGACTTAGCATTAGTATTTAAACTATTAACATACAAAATAAAAATATTTACCATATATCAGATAAAATGTAGTAATTTACATGCTTAGGTACAAAACTTACAGAAACAATTTACTTGATCCACATGACTGATTTACACCTGGTTCCTTCAGTGCAGGCATTCAATGCTACTTTGAAAACCTCTCTGTTCCCTGGTGCTTTCCTTAAGAGTGGTCAGACTTGTGTGATTTAGAAAAGCTTTTTCATAGTCATCCTTCACCTATCTCATGTGCCTGATATATCTTTTTCTACATGTTGCTTTGTGAAGTCTTGGCACCATTACAGGTGCTATGTAACCTTAATTCTGCATCTGTAAGGAAGAAATCTTTTCATGTGGCAGCACTTACACTTTGGAACTCCCCCCCCCCCATTGGCATCAAGCAGGCGCCTTCACTGTGTTCATTGTGGGGCTTGCCAAGAACATAATAATGCCATGTGTTTTAATCTAGCTTATTGCTGATTTTAAATGTTTTTGAATGTTTTTATTGATAATTTCATAGTTTATTCTTTTTGTAGACCACTTTGAAGTTATTTAACAATTTTGTTAAAGAAAATAAAATTTAAAATACATATATATAATCATTGTAACAATAACTCATGCATGTATTATGGTAGCAATTAAAAAGCCTTTATATGAAAATGTCTGTATTGAATTTCTGATCCATATATAAAATAAGTGGAGTCCAAAGCTTCTCAAAGTATTCTTGTCTTTGTCTTCCATCATAAAGATGTAGGGCTTCAGCAAGCTTTGCCATTATGGCCAGATGCCATGTCTTATTAAACCATTCACTGACTCTCTGAAATTTTGATCCCAAGGTTTCAATTTCTGGCAGAATATCTAAGCTCACAACACACTAAGTGTTTCTAATTTTTAATTTCTCAATCAATTTCTCTGAAGAGTACTTAGGCACCACAACCAAATTTTTGATGATGAAAGCATCTCTTCCAACTCTGTAAAGATGTAATTTATTAACCCTCCTCTGGGGGAGTATTCCATTGCCCCAGGATTGTTGCAAAGATGTTCCACTTCTCACTAAAACCATGCTGACAATACAGTGAAAGTACATAAATGAGACTCCAGAAAAAGGTCTAAATAGGCCACAAGGCACACAAGGTGAAAGGTAGTTTTGGGGGTGTGCAGGTCCCACAGTTTAAAATATTAAAACCAGCTCCTTACATGGAATCTTATTCACAAAAAAGCTAACATTTCAATCAGCATACTATAACACTAATATTTTTTAAAAAATATATAATACAAATCCACCATAATAGTTCAAAATATTATACCAAAACAAAATAAAATAGGCCATACAGACCAAAAGGGAACGTACTGAATTCTTTGCCCACAAGACACTGCTATATAAACCTTATTCAAATAACAGTTTACATCCATCCTGCAGAAAACACCTCCGTTGATCAACAAGCATAGCTGTCAACGTTTCCCTTTTTTAAAGGGACATTCCCTTATTCCGAATAGGATTTCCCTTAAAAAAAGGGAAAAGTTGACAGCTATTTGTCTCAATTTTTAAAAGCTAGTTTATATATGTCCTCTCCTTCACAATAACAAAGGCACTGTCTATTTTTTCACAGTTACTAGAATGTCCACATTCTAGGGCTATAAAAGACCAAAAAAATCCCCCCTCTCTGTTGTCGCTTAATTCCAAGAAGTTTCAAAAGTACTAAGGGCCCAAGATGTGATATTAATTGCTCTAAGACTTGAAAGGAAATCTCCACTGGTGTGCTTGAAATGCACATTGGAGAAGCAGCTTTTCTGTTCGGACCCCAAAAGAGAGAGAAAGAGTTACGTGTTTCCTCTCTACCCTTCATGGTGCTAAGGCTGCTCAAACTTCCCCAGGGCTTCTATTTACAAAACAAAAAACTGCACATTAATTGCATTCACAGAATCAACTGGAGCCAAATAACACAGAATCAATCTAATGTCCAACAAACAATATTTGGCCAATTGACTGGCCTCCAACTCTGCACAAGTGACTTTGTAACATCTGCAAATGCCATGTGTTTCTAAGAAACACTCATAATTATTGCACTTACTGTGACACATCAGACACAGCAGGCAAAGGTGCCTCTTCAGAGATGAGGTCCATGTCTTCTGTGAAACTGTTGGCCCTTGACATTTCACCACTGTTCCCTTCCAAACGCTTTTTTACTAAACAAAGAATGTGAAGATGCAATATGTTAAAGGGACAGAACAGCAAGATTACACAAGTTGCTCCATTTATACTGCAGTTGTTGCCTTTCAATCAGTGCCTTTTAAAAGCACTGCTTTTAATCCTTATTATGCTCTCCTTCCTCAAGGCAACTCTTTACAGGTAAAAGTCCTTGGGCTTTGGTTTTGTACCTGCAAAGACTGCTTATTCATTTCAAAGCAGCATTGAAAGGGAGGCTGACCCTGAAAGCCAAGGAGCAGCACAGCAGTTCCAGTGAGCTCACAATCTGCGCCCACAATTTTCTTTCTTAAAGGATAATATGAGCATGGTGAAGAAATGACAACAAGTAGAATATTTCTATAAATATTGGTGATGCGTCCATTGTTATGACAAGCAGTCTTTGTGTACAAAATTGCATTTTGCAAAGAATGAGTGGCGGAGATTATGAAGTGGCTCTGCGCTTTTGACACTCAGAGGCATTTTGTGACCCTGTGTGGAAGCCATCTTTAGAGCTAAAAACACAAAGGCCAGCACTGCAGTTTTCAGTGCATACTTTTCACTTAGAAAACCAGGTGTAACCATCTTAAAGTCATAGTTGCGTTTCAGATAACACCATTTCAGGACCAAGAAATTATAACAAATCTATATTTGACCCTGTTAAATATGTGGAAAATCAAAATTTACTATGTTCTCTGCATTTAAGTAACTGAGTTAATAAGTTACTGGGTAAGTGTAGGCCACAAAGTTTATTTCAGTGGTTCTCACATCTAAGGATTATCATTATCACCTATTATATGGATTGCTAGGCATATTTGTATGTATTTAGTAAAGAGTGCAATTCTATATTTGTTTACTCAGATGTAAGCCACACTTTCAGTGGTGCTTCAAAGTAAGCATGCATCATAGCCTATTGTTGCGAACAGTGGGTTAAATTACACAGTACTTGTGCACTGAGGAGCACATTGCCCACATCTGGATGCCAGGTGCACTGGGTTACCATAGCAACACCAGCAAGGTTAAGTGTATGACTTGCTGAGTCAGTCATCATCCCATTGGTTCAGAAATGTAGTCTTTAGGGCATGGCTTTCAATATGTCCTGTCCTGATGCTGCCCTGTTTGCTGTCAGGGTCTGGATCCGTGAGAGTCAGGGGAAGACACTGTGGGTATTACATGGCAGCATTAGATTGCATGGTGATAGTGTTGGCAGATCACTCTGTACATATATTTTTTTAATTCAAGGACCAGAAGAACTGTATATAGTAGATAGTAGAGTTTAGCTTGTCTTGCGTCCAGAGGCAACAAACACTTTGTAACTGTGAACTGTGTGGGAGAGGAGTTTCCCCCTAAACTGGGGACTCTGGAAGAAGCTGTCTGCTGGGAGCAGGAAATCTCTGAGGCCTCTGAGGCTGGAGCTCCGCATCCTCTGCTGGTACATCACACTGGATGCGGGAGGTGGCTTCCACAAGTCACCAACACCTACAGTAGGAGTCTAGCAAAGCAGCTGAGGTTAATTGCTAGTTTCTCTTTCCACCTTCTCCAAGCCTCTGATTTGAGAACATTTTTTTTAAAAAAAAAAAGTCCTGTGAGGCAGAGCTGCTTTCAGGACCTCTGCAGAGACTGTGCCTGCTTCCAGACAGGGCTAACTATTGCAAATGGGTCATTCAGATATCACAAATAGGTCGCTGACAACACGGGTTTTTCGTTTGTTTGGTGCAGCAGTCCCATCCCCCCACTTATTGGACTTTATGCGGAAATTAATCAGGATTAATTTGGGGGATGGCCTGGTATTCTTCACTATCTGAGTTAATCCTCCATACAAATAATCAAGGGCAGTCAATAGTTAAGCCTGCCTCTTGTTCTCTCTTGTTCTTGTTCTTGTTCAAGAATCCTCTTGTTCTCTCATCAGGCAAGTCTCAAAAAAGCTCTCAGGAGAGGAGGGAATTACCAGGGCAATGGGACTGTACACTCCATCAGCTTTGCTTGGAAACTGCTCCCATGTATTTATCCATAAAATGCCAAGATTGTGCTTTTGTGCAGATGCTCCTCCTGAAGGAAGATAGATCTTCCCAACTTTGCATTCTTTGATTGAAAATATATTATTTTTATTGTTGTTGTTGTTGTTATTGTTATTATTACTATTATTACGTAGTAAAATACATAAGTAAACTAGAATCAATCCTAATAACAAATAACCACAGATTGTAGACATTTCACTGGGGTCACTTATAAAAAGTGTGATTCAGTTTCAAGAACATTAAATCACCTGCCGCTTTCCATTTTCTCTACAAGACCAAGGAAAAAGTATTTATAAGTAAGTATTTATAACACGCTTTATAAGTAAGTATAATCAGAGGGAAAGAGGGCCAGCAAGGAGCAAAGTGCAAAGTTAAAGATTTAAGAATTCCAAATCCTCACATACAGGAGATGAGTGGGGTAAAGTCTGCTGGCGTTCCTTTTTATTTGTGTACCTTATCAAGTCAAATCAATTCCTAATGAATTTGTCTCGTTTTCGTTGCCCCCTAAGCACAGAGCACTCTTTGGAATTTATGAACTCAGGTGGCAAAGGGAGCTCAGAGGAGGAGGAGATATTGCTCCCAGTGAGCTGGCGCATGATGTGATTTGTCACTAAGATCATCCTGGGAGGCCCTTCTCCAAGTCCTCCCTGCCTTTAGAAGTGAGATGGTGGGAGAGACTTCTGTGGCAGCGCCCCAGCTGTGGAATACTCTCCTTGGGAGGTCTGTCAGTTGAACACATTTTTATTTGCCTGAGTCTTTTAACTGTTTTAGAACTATTGTAATGCTAGAGTTGTATCTGTTGTATTGGAAGAACAGGCTGATGCTCCTGATCTTAACTTACTAATGCTGCTATTTACATCATTAATTGTTAGTCATTATAGAAATCTCCAAACTAAAGCGCAGCATATAAATCTTGGGAATGAATAAATAAAAAACAAAATGGTCCAGTCATTGTGTAAGCCCATGCATAGTTTCCATTATGTCACAGAAACCGGCAAGGTGTGTACAGTGGCACCTTGGGTTACGGATGCTTCGGGTTACAAACTCCACTAACCAGGAAGTGGTTGCTCCAGGTTAAGAACTTTGCCCCAGGATAAGAATGGAAATCGTGTGCCAGCGGCACAGCGGCAGCAAGAGGCCCCATTAGCAAAAACATGCCTCAGGTTAAGAACTGTTTCAGGTTAAGAACGGACCTATGGAATGAATTAAGTTCTTAACCCGAGGTACCACTGTACAGCTTTAAAAATTACTAAATGTTTACAATCAATAAAAACCACAAGGTTCAATGTTAAGTTTAGCAAGACTAGTAGCTCTGCTATGCTGTCAGGCTCAGGAATTCTATCCCTCCCCCGGTGGCAGCAAGAAGCAGAGAAAAACAAGGCAGAGTCCTTTTTATTGAGTTTATTCATTCATAATAATGAGAGACAAAAGAATGCCCAAACAATGGTGTTGCTCCAACTGAGCTCCTCCTCCCTCCTCCCTAGCAACAGCATTTCCCTTTACTGTGTCTGCTCGTGGCCAACTGTCTCCAAGTTCTCTGTTCCTGCACTCTTAACAAACGCCAAGTTCTGGGAGAAGGGGGGTCAGAAATACTCTCCAGTGACAACGTGTCAGCTGGCTGCTCTGCCTCCTGGCCTTGCCTCACCTTCCCCTTCTCCTAACACTTCCCAACTCTTCTGTTCATCTGTCTCTGAGCTGTGACCTTCCTCAAACCCCTGCTTCTCTTCTCCTGCAGCGTCAGGAGAACGGGTGTGTGTGCGTTGTATAACAACAATAACAACAACAACAATAATTTATTAATTGTACCCCGCCCATGTGGCTGGGTTTCCCCAGCCACTCTGGGCGGCTTCCAACAGAGATTAAAAATACATTAAAACATTAAAAACTATCCTAAACAGGGATCTCCACCATTCCTCCTCCATCACATCCCCTTCAGTCCAGTCCCTGTCATATGTATTGATATTTACTTGTATTGAGATCATTTCAACAAAATCCCATTGAAGGAATGGGTTTCCCAAACCCAAAACTGACTGTGCAGGCAGTCTGATACTGCACCAAAATCCCTATTTTTCCTTAGCTAAAATCCATTAACTTGAGCTCTGAGTCAATGTATAAACAAAAACCCAGCTGTGCTCAGAGCCCTCTCCTTTATCAGTTTGTGACGGCAGGGATGACCCTGACTGCACCAGCAGAACAGAGAAGACACATCTATACCTTATCTTATGTGCTGACCACAAAAGACGCACAGACCTAAGTCCGGAACAACGCCAAAGCGTGTTATCGGAGATGACGACCACTTCCTCCAAGATAAGAGTAGGAAGAGGAAGATCCTTTTATGGTCAGAAGTACAGGAAGGAATTCCCTTTTATGGTTAAGAATACCAGAGCAAGACTTCCGGGTTAGTGCCTCCAGCAATGGCGGATTTCCTCTGATCGGGAGGAATCCGCTTCGTGGAAATCAGGGTCCGGACCGCCACGGCGAGGCGGAGACCCATTAAAAACCACAGGTGGGAGAAGCCTGTGGACGTGGGATTCGGCTGGCACCTTTTGCACCTCCCCTACTCGCGGGGAGACCCAGTTTCGGGGATCCGGAGCGACGTGGGGTGAGCGGCGCGGTGCTTCGAATCGACTGCTTTTTTCATGGAGTGAAGCCGCATTGCTGTTGCCGGAGAGCGCTGACTTTTTCCTGTGGACAATTGGACTTTAAACAACTACCCGTGAGTAGAACGGAAAATTGGATTATTAAACATTTTTAATTTGGCACCGAAGCGGGAAGGTTCCAAACAGGAAGTCCGCCTTCCGCTTTTGTAAATAGATTGAAGCAAAGACATTGCAAGCTAAAGTCTGGAAAGTATTTTATAAAGGATTAAATCTCCATCGGCTGAAATCACTAAACCCCCCTTGGAAGCAGGAGAAGAGGGGGGAAAGTTTAGATTGTTTAAGCCTGCAGGAGAGAGAGCGAAGAAAGATAAATTACCACCATTT